GAAAATATTCAGGTTCTTCATCAGGTTCAGGAATCCAATTATCATCATCATCTGAGGAGTCGTTTAGTTAGATATCACTTTCTTCACTGGAATCAGACTACATTTTTTACCGTTTAATTAATTTGGTTGTTGTATGGGATTCCTTTAAACATTTCCTGTTAGCTTTACGGGGTGGTAATTTTGGTTATCCTCTGAAGTCTTCTGGACTAGCAAATATGAGAAGTTTATTATCCATAGTTGTTTGTAGCTGAAATCCTATGTTAGATGGTCCAGGTTCACTTTTTTCTGAAGTAATCTCGTCCTGACACGTTCAGTATCTGGTGTTGTCTCTTTACAAAATTGTAAGGTGGCAGGTCCATGTAATTCATAATCGATGACATCTTCCCGTTGTATCCTGTCAGATAATGCTGATGGTAAAGTCTTTGTCGTCAAAGATTAGAGAATTAAACGGATAAATTCAATTTTTCTGAAATCCTGACATATTGGAAGGAGTTAAGGATTTTGCGTGAGCTTTTCCAACACATTCGGCTATTTGGTAAATCATCATGGGAATTTCAGGATGTCGTAGGAGCTAAGAATCAATACCAGCATTGTAATGTGCTTTAAATGGTCCAAAGACCAATATATCTATAGGCTGAATTTTGTGACTACAGTGTGGAGGTAGGGTCAAAATAGTCACAACTGCAGCTCGAGCTTTTTCGACAACTTTTTCTTTTTAGGGTGCCTGTTCGTTCCGAACGTTGGCGATCGTTCAAGCTATGATGATTTTGTTGGTTGCTATACAAAATAGCTGTGTTGAGGTCTTTCTATACCATGCTCTCAGGTTAGCAAGCCAGGATATTCTTCTTCGTCCTGGGGCTCTTTTTCCTTCAATTTTACCCTGCAAAATGCATTGGAGTAGCTCGTATTTGCCTTGATTTCTCATTATATGTCCCAAGTACTCCAGCTTACGGCTCTTCACAATGTTGACCAAATCCGCGGTTGTGTTCATCCTCCGCAGTACTTCTTCATTGGTGACTTTGTCTGTCCATGGTATCTTCAGGATTCTTCTGTATAACCATAAATCAAATGCATGAAGTTTTGATAGAGTTTTCGACAACGGCAACTGATATATGGCTTTTATGGTTGTCATATATTAGAACGGAAGGATTGTCAGGTGTCAGATAGCTAGGGGAAGGTATGTGCCGTTAGCACGAATGATTGCGCAAGTTGTCACTGAAGTTCCACGTTCGGCACTGCTACATTGACTAACTTGTTTGGAACACTTTTCAGCTCCATTTTTTCTGGAGTTTTGCACAGTGCTAGTACCCCTTTCATCAAGATTAAAAATTCTAGATGAATTAGCTACTTCAGGTTTCTTTTCAAATATTTGGTGTAGATGATTTAAAAATATTTTCATATTGTGTGAGTTAAACGAAATGATTCTGCTTAAACTGTAGGCTTCCGGCTGACGAATGCTAAGATTATTTTATGTTTTACTTCTTTTTCTACACTGTGAAAAGCGTATCACTGTGTACCACATAACACTGTTACAATGTGTACCAATAATCTAACCACACTAAAAAATTTAAAACTTTACTATGCGAGTCTTTATCTTACAAATTGTGTTTTAGGTTATATTATTACATAGGCAAAATGTCATTGTAATAGTAAGAATGCCGTTAAATCGGCTGTCAATAAATAAAAAATACATACCAACTACTCTTATTAAGTTACTACAAACCTTTAAAAAAACATAAAATCCAATTATAATTTGCAAAACTTATTCCACGCACGTGAACGCTCAAAATAACATACAACTCTACCGGACAACTGTAGATTTCATAAATGCGCTTTACAAGTGCGCCAAATTTAAAAATAAATTTCGGTGTTTCACTGTGAACCATGTATCACTGTGTACCACTTTCCCCTACTTAATTGAAAATGATACAAGGCTCAACACAAAGCACAAAACTAAAGACTCTTAGTGTAGTTACTTTAAAATACCGTGGCAAAAATAAAAAAGTAGCGTCTTGCAAGAGAAAAAACTATACAACATTAAAAATATAATGAAGAGTAGATAAAACAAAAGACCTTTATGGGAGCAGAACCTGGATGAATATGTGGGACTGGAATGAGTTAAGAGTTAAGAAGTCTTTGAGAGGAAAAGGTTTCGAGGGTTCAACTAAGAAGTCTGCATTGAACGAGACAAAGAAATTCATAATTAGATAGCTAAAACAAGAAATTATCCAGATATGTAGTTATATCAAACAGATTTGTTGGTTAGGTAATTTGTTAAAAGACGAAGAAAAAAGAAAGCGTACCACCACGAAATAAACAACTAAAAATGCGCAAGGAAAAATGACAATAACAAATTAAAAAACGGCATCGATAGACAGAAAAAAGTGAAAAATAACTTTAGGAAAACTTAAATAGTGGTTAAAGGTTGATAAATGAGATTAGAGGTAATGCGAGTTGTCGATGGTTACTGAAAAAAAACTCTAAGAAATGTTTACTGATCCACATCTATAAGTACACCTGTCAAGAAATAGTATCCGGCAGTTCCAAAAAATGCTACTCTCATAGCGCCGAAGGGCTGTACATACATTATTATTTATAAAATCTTTAATCTTTTAATTTATTGAAATACAGATATTTATTTTTGTTTTTAAAATAGTTTAGAGCAAAGATTCATGAAATAAAAAATTACCTGTGATACCCATTGCATTGTCTAGTTCCCCTTTTAGAATGTTTAATACGTTTTTTACACCCTCTTCTCCATCACGCACCAGACCCCATATAACAGGCCTGCCAATAAATACCATTCTAGCTCCTAGAGCTAGAGCTTTATATACATCAGTACCATCTCTAATTCCTCCGTCCATGTATACTTCAACTCTATGCCCAACTGCTTTCGCTACCTCTGGTAAAGCTTCTATCTGAAATAATTCGTAATTGGACGTTAAAGCTACGATTTTATTTTTAGTAGTATCATATCTTACTGTTGATGGAAGACTATCTAGTTGTCTAGCACCGTGATTAGAAACAAGAATGGCAGAAGCTCCTGCATCTGCTGCTGCGATGGCATCCTCAGCTGTCAGCACACCTTTTATTACAATTGGTAATTTAGTGACGGTTGTTAACCATCTAACACAGTCCCAATCGGCGTCTAGATCAGGAAGATCGATAAAACTAGATATTGTCTTCTTCTGTTCATATCTTTTAAGAAGGACAAACCTTAAACATTGGTAAATTGTGTAAAATAAAATATTATTTGGTGTATTCAAAATACATTTCAATTTATTATTATATAAATAAATATAAATATTATTTAATATATTTATTACAAAAAATGGGTGGATCTACCGTTCAGAAAATATAAAAGCGTTAAATCAGTATTAACAGATGAAAAGATCTTAAATAAGAAAAAAAAGAATTTTTAAATATAAAAGTCTGAATTATTTCAAATTCAGACTTTTATATTTAAAAATTGTCTCTATGACTTGATTCTACCACTACTAGTGGTAGAACAGAATAATAAGCAAGTGTACAGTATACTATTACTTGTTTTAATTTTCAGTTTTCGAGTTCTAATACAGAAAGCCAGGGATGTCAACTGTAATATATGTGCATGTTTCATCTATTCCGAAAAGACATTTGATAAAGAACCACATGAAGAATAGTGCGATTCGAAAATAAACGGTTGATTTGAAAATATCTTTAGATGAATCTGATGGTAATGCAGTAAATGACTAACTTATAAACAATATTAGATACGCAGACGATACCGTATGACTGGCAGATGGTGCGCAGGAGCTCCAAAGGTTGATGGATAATGTAGAAACACGTAATAAATAAAGCCTAAAACTAAATTGTAAGAAAACAAAAATAATAACTATTAGTAAGAGCAAATGTCCAAATTACAATAAACGATACACCGTTAGAAAGAGTGGAGAAAATATGGTATTTATTTGGGCTGTAATATTAAGGATAACGAATCATAACTACGAAATAAAATTCTCGTATTGAAAATGCCAGAAGCTCTTTAACGGTCTTAGGAAGATCCTTGCAACTTATCTTTAAGTATCAATATACGCATAAGAATTCTTAGATGTTACGTCTTTAGTGTCCTCTTCTACGGAGGAGAAAGGGTGAGTCTTACAAAAGATGTCATAAAACGATTAGAGGCATTTAAAATGTGGTGCTGCCGACGTATGTTAAGGGTCTCATTTATACACCACACAATTAATATAACTATTCTCCAGAGACTAGGAAAAGTCAAAGAAATTATTAACACCGTAAAGAACACAAAATTGGCGTACTTCAGTCATATTATGGGTAATAGTAAATGGCGGCTTCTACAGTTGATTCCACAAGGCAAGATTGAAACCAAGAGGGGCCCTGGACGCAGACGTATATCCTGGCATCTTCGAATATGGACTGGTCTAACGTCAACGGAATAAGATGATTCAATGTGGTCGCCAACATCACGAGAAGATAAGCAGCTTTTGAAAAAGAAGA